TTGCAGAAATCTTTGACCAACCCAAGAGTTAATTTAATATTCGTTTTTCAAACCTGAGTTCAAATTCCCTTACGTCCACTTTAACAACATTGTCAACCTTATTTTTGTTTTGTACATTTCTATTTTTAGGTTGGCGGAAGGACCTACAAAACTTATTGTTCTTCATATTTTTGTCTTTTCTCATTACCGTTAGCTTTTACACATTTTCAACCAGCACTTATGAGTTCAAATTTTAGCGATTTAATAACAACGGTAGCGCTGTCGTCGAATTTATTTTATAAGGTTCGGTCTCTTGACATTGAGATAGACCAAACTGAGAAGACTTTGTCTATACTAAAGTTTGTTGAAACATATTTTAAGAGAATAACACGTTTATCATTGTGCAATGTTAAACAAGATCATCGTTTAACGTTGCCGCCAACTGAGCTAGGTATGCAATAGTGCCAAGCCTCGTATTGGTATATTTGTCTCAAAACGGCTGGCGATCGGACGCAACCAACGGAGAAACGGCGTACTCCGATTTTGTAACTAGGTTAAAGGTCAAAGCTTGAAGGTTAAAAATTATAGAACATTTCATGTCTATTCAGTGTACTACAATTGTACTTCCGTGGACTCCCCGTACTCCGAGAGTACGCTGTTTCCCGCGTGGCCACGACTGGTACTCAAGCAGCTATACTCGTGCATTAAAACTCTTCCTGGTAGATATATTGTTTTTGGACACAATGACTTTTTTTCAATATTTCTATAGACATATGTGGATTGTCTAGAATTCAGATACAAGGGTATGAGTCTAGAATTTGCTTTTTTTTAAAGAAAAACACTGTTCTAATTAGAGTCGAAAGAGCCATTAATCTCTACAGATTAAATATAAAGATTAATTTTTACAGAGCATCAATTGCCCTTCCGAGTTCACTTAATAGTCCTTTTTTTGTAAGATGTTCAATTTTTTTGCGTTTACTTGCTTATTACGATGAGGACAATCCACATCTTTACGAAGAAACGTTGAATAAAAACTAGTTATTGCCAAGAAATATATTTTTGAAAAACTTATTTCAGAGATTTAACGTATTGTGCGCATTTTGCATTATAGGATGATGAAATAAGTAGACAAATTTTAATACATCCGTACAAATTACTAGAGTACCTGACGAGCTGGCACTAGTATACAAATGCAAGATTTGGTGCTGTTGCATATCTATACTGAACGACGACATTTCTTATTTGTAGCTGATCTATGTTTACCAACTGTTAAAATATTGAAATTTCACGATGAATGTTATGATTGGGTACCTTATGAAGATTTGAAACAATTATTTCCCATATTTCCAAATCTTACTGAATTATTAATTAATCGTTACGATCTTGAAAATGCAGCAAGTTATCTATATGAGCATGATGGAGATAGAGATCTTTTACAATTGAAACATTTACACACGTTTACTGTAGAGACCGACGACACATTTCAAGGATCGAGCGAACTGAGTGAGGAGGCCAATGAATTTAAAAAATGTTTTCGTAAACGTTTGTCAAAAATAGTTTTGGGTTGGATTACGCCTAATGGCAAAGAAGAAGACAACGACGATGACAATACTGAAGAGGACGCCGATGATGGTGATGATGAAGAAGACTAAATATGACGTTGAATATTTTTTCGTATTATAGGTTTTTGAAGCGTACCTTTTCGAAAATTTTTTATCATAAAGAATGAGAATGACGGTATGCATGAGATGAAGAAGCGAAACTTCTTCTTACCCACACATATTCTTACCTTCAAAACTCTTTTCTCATTGAAAGTCAAAAAAATGATGAAATTCCATAACGGCAAAAGTCATAAATTATTTCTCAATAATGCCCTTTATACGAAAATAACAACCTGATATATAGATATATTTTGAAAAGAATTATAGGTTACTCTCGATTCGTTTCAAATCAGTCAGTTAAGCGATTCATTTCAAAAGTTTCTGTCTCAATTAGCCCCGCTCATAAATAGATTATTCCAAGAGAAAAGAGTAGACCTCAAGATTTCAAGAGACTCCAACATCAGAAACTGCAGAATTTTCAATAAACTTCTAAAGATTTTTAGTGTCTTCGTAAGACTTCAGAAGACTTCATGAACCAAGAAATGTTAGAAATTCCATGAAATTTCTGTAAATTACAAAAAACGATATCAGTTATATAAAGATAGCAAAAAAGGACCATGCCGGATAAGTAACGAAATCTGACACCCTTCCTACACGAAAACGACCCATATATTCCAACAGATTACATGACGAGGAACATTTTGAAAACAAAATTTTTGAGATTTGACCTCTCTTGCACCCCAAACGTACATCATAAGAAAGTCTACACGTTAGCGGCTTTCAGAAATGATTACTCGTTGCTTGAGCTTCATTTTCATACAAAAAAATTTTCAAAAATAATCTCTCCAAAATATAACTTTTAACCATAGAATTCCAACGGATCAAATATGAGTTATACAAACATTGTATTTTTCACAAATGGTTGGATTTTTACTTACAAAATACGA